CCATCGTCATCCTCTTCATGAGGTTGTAGCTGCACGGCAGGCCCTTGAGGACGTGGGTGATATAGGACGCCATCGAGTATTCGGCGCCCGCCATCCGCATCTCAGCCAGGATCCGTTGAGATGTGTGTCATCTTCACCTCCAGCTGTCCGATGAACAGGTCGTCCTTCACCTGGTACATCGACAGGATGAAGTGCCATGCTTGGTGGCAAGCATCCAGTCGGTCTAGAGAGCTCCTGAGCGCTAGCTGAACCACTGTCGAGCAACACCTCGAGATGACCATGAAGGTGAGCAAGTGAGCTGCACGAAACTCCCCGCGCAGCTCGACATCGTCCACGGGCAGAATTGGCACGGTGCCGTCGGCGAAGCCCTTCAGCCCGGCGACCTCCAGCTGAGGTTCTATCGACTCCCTCCAGGTGATGAGGTCCCGTCGACCTTGCAGCGGTGCGACGGTGATCTAGTCCGGCGAGAACTTGAAGTAGCCATACGCCGGTGCAATCCCGCCCGCCGTCAAGTGCGTCGTCGCCGAGAGCCCTCCACCGCTTCGTAGAGGAGATCGACGTCGACCATCAACGTCGGCACGCGAGCTGCCTGCAGCCGCCGTCGACCGCTGCACTCGCGCCTGAATCCTGTCAACGCCACCGTCGACCTTGGTCACCCCTCTCTGCTTCGTGCCTTTGCTGCTGCTGAATCGTGCACCATCGTTGACCTCGTCGTCGATGCCACCTTCGTTTCGTACCGGTCGAGGAGATGCAGGATGGAAAGGGTGCTCCTTCACCCTCTGCGCCCGGATGCCAAACTCGAAAATCGCCAAGGGGACCTTCCCGTACTTGCCATCCTCGATGCGTTTCCCCGCATCAGCCAAGCGTGCCTCCAAGGTGTCCTCTACCGCGCCGGCCGTTGGCAGGGTAGGCGTCATGGTTGCACGTGCTTCCGGCCTGCCAACGACTTAGTAGGTGCAAAACTCGACTCCTATCTAAAGGTAATTTGCGGGGCCGTCCACGCTTACTGCACCATGCGGAGAGTCACTCTACAACGGTGAGCTAGACTACAAGGGGGTTGGCACGAACTACTAGGAGTGATCATAGCTTTGCTTAGTTCCTTAGTGCTTGCACATATACAGGAGAAATCGGCAAGAGTTTCACTAGGCAAAGTTGGAATTACATAATGGTTGAACAAGGAATGACAACAATGACTACATTATGCACCTAGCAATTCTGCAGCTAGCTTGGTCGACCGCCAGCACTGCATGGTTGACTGCCTGCCAGCGTTGCATAGAGGAGCCACGCCAGCACTGCAGAAAGGCGACCTTCCAACACAGCAGGTCGACGGTGTGCCAACGCTGCAGCAGAGCGGCTATCTAGCGTTGCCCCGTAGAAGACAGCAGTGCGCACACTCGCAAGTGCGCGCAGACGATTGGCCCGACTTGCATTGTTGTGCATCTGTCGGCTGTTGTCTGCGCCTGACGAGCCACATCGACTTCGGGATACCAGCCCATAGTCGCCTTTGCCATCGCGACCTCGACGACGTTCGCGTTCCTCCGCAGAACTCGTCCAATAGATAACCCAGTCGACCTGGTCGACCACCAAGTGCTCTGGTCGACCACCAGGGCCTCTGGTCGACCACAAAGTGCCCCTGGTCGACCACAGCTCCCGTCGAGCTACCCCTTGGTCGACGGACCCCTACGTCAACCAGAACTGTCAGATGATGTCGCCGAGCTCCTCTCATTGACCGCTGCTCACATGTCAGGTCGACGAACTGCTCCATCGACCTCCCGGTCGAACTGCTCTTCCTGGTCGACGGCCCATCCGTCGCCCAGCCCAGTCAGCTGCAGCTGTCGAACTCCCTGGTCGACAGAAACACCACAGCGGTTCCCTGCAGCTCAACGAAGCCCGTCGAGCAGCTCTCCCACTATGAACGGTCGGCTGCTTCACCCGTACATCCGACCAAGTCGTCGGCGTTGCCCAAGCGAGGGCGGGGCCAACACTTCACTCCCGTGAACAGCCAGCTCGTCCATTACCTGCGCCGACCTGAAGGGGAGAATATGGCAGACCTATGACGCACCCTACATTACTTCATCTCTACTCCTGACGTCGGCCTAACCTACAAGGCGAACTTAACGGCTAACCTACAGCTTACCGGCTACGTGGATGCAGACCACGCAGGAGACGCAGACAACATGAGATCCCGCACGGGATTATTTTCAAACTTGATCCTACAGGGACCATCTCTTGGAACTCCCGGAAGCAGGAGCTCATCGCCTTCTCGTCAGCTGAAGCTGAGTTCATCGCTGCAAGCGCAGCAGTTTGCGAAGGCCTTTTCATGACGGAGTTTCAGCAAGAGATGAAAACGGCGATGAACAGGCCGTTCAAATTATGGTGCGTCACACAAAGCGCGATGAAGATCGCGAACAAGCCTGGCGTTGTCAACCACACGAAACACATTGCCCTCCGTTACTTCTTTGTGAAGGACAAAATTGACAAGGGCAAGGTCCAGCTCACTTACTGCCCAACTGGCAAAATGGCAGTTGATTTCCTGACGAAGAAACTGCCACATACAAAATTCCAGTTTTGCGCGGACCTCAGCGGAGTCGTCAAGAAGAGCCACTTGGCACACCTTCAAGTATGAAGGGGAGTGTTGGAGTAAGTGGCAATTACCTCCCAAAGGTGCAGCAATATCGCACCCGCCACAATCGAAGCAGCACTTGTACCACTATCACGCTAGCCCATATAGGGCACGCAGGTCAATAGTCGCAAGTCAACTGTCAACACTGTTGACCTACCTGGACCAAACGGTTACGAGGAATTGCAATAGGCGTAATTGTCGCTACAGTTACAGGCAGCGACCGGGAACTGAAGGATCGTAATAGTCACTAGCACTTTAGCGAACCCCTCAGAGTAAATGACTAGATAGGATCTTCATATTATGTGTAATGTTTTCAATTTCATTAATATTGTCATTTACATTCACTATTAGCAAGGTTCCCACTATTACAAAAGACTTCCGCTACCAACTCTTGTCAAACTTATATATAGCTTACATTGTGTAGGCTGTAGTGGGGTAGCCCATAAGGGGTACAACCCAATTAGGGTTAGTACTTGTACCCAACTCTTTGCTAATTCATTCATTCTCGTTCGTTCTTTCTGACATGGTTTCAGAGCAGGTCACTTCTAGGACCGATTTTTGGGCCCACCACCTGCTGCCCTGCTAGCCACCCTCGCGACCCGTAGGCCCCCCTAGGCCCCGACCCGTCGCCGCTCCTAGCCCGGCCCGTCGCCCCTAGCCTGGCCCCTCGTCGCTCGTCGCCCCTAGACTCGGCCCCTTGGCCCCGTCGCCCCTAGACTCAACCCCTAGGCCCCCGTCGCCCCGTCGCCCCTAGCCGCGACCCGTCGCCCCTAGCCTCGGCCCCGCAGCCCCGTCGCCCCTTAGCCTCGGCCCCGTGGCCCCTCGCGACCAGCGCCCCTAGCCGCGGCCCCTCGGCCCCGTCGCCCCTAGCCGCGGCCCCTCGGCCCCTGTCGCCCCGTCGCCCCTAGCTGCGACCCCTCGCCCCGTCGCCCCTAGTCGCGGCCCCGTCGCCCCTAGCCTAGGCCCCGTGACCCCTCGCGACATGTCGCCCCTAGCCTTGGCCCCTCGGCCCCGTCGCCCCTAGCCGCGGCCCCTCGCGACCCGTCGCCTCGTCGCCCCGTCGCCCCTAGCTGTGGCCCCTCGGCCCCGTCGCCCCTAGCCGCTGTTATAGTCACAATAGGCTTGAATGTGCCTAAAACGAAAGATAGAGAGCACAGACGGATTTCTGCACAGCGGCTTCAAACGTTGATAGCGTTCTGCTCACAGCTGCAAATGACTTGATTCAAATTGGATCTGGAGCGTCTTTACGTCGTCTACAATTAGCAATTTAGATTGCACGATTTGATAAAGAATTCACGACACAGCGTCGGTTTGAACGAACGGTACTATGGCAGCCACTATAGTCTTAGAACACAAGATAGGAAGAGTTACGAGTTGGGAATGACTCCCAGCTCCTACAAACCCCAAGAGCCGAGGTACAGTGATGTGGAACAGTGCCACACTGTCCCCAACCACGAAGGGTCTCGAAACTACCCTTCACTAGGGCCTACACCAAGTGAAATGTTACACTACACAAAGTAATGTAACTATCTTCAATATCTTGAGGTGTACCCTTTTGGCGAGCTTCGAAATCACTTGAGGCTTGACACCAAGGCTCGGGCTCTCCATCACAAACTCATCCTTGAGTTCTTGATGGGTCTGCTGCACACACCTGCGACACGCCGAACGTTCGACACAGGACAAAATAGAAACCGCGCACGACAAAATAGAAACCGCGCGCGAGACACAAACGACCGCGTAACACGCGTCTAGCGATAACTCGCTATTGACTCGACACACACACTCGACATCATGACTCAACATTCACACACAATTATAAGCATGAAATATATATTATCCCATGCCCTCATACCATTCCATACACACACACATTCACGCACACGGACAACAAGCCGAGTGCAAACCGTAGGGTTGCACCAACAGCCGCGGCCCCTCGCGACCCGTCGCCCCGACGCCCCGTCGTCCCTAGCTGCGGCCCCTCGGCCCCGTCACCCCTAGCCGCGGCCCCTCGCGACCCGTCGCCCCGTCGCCCCTTGTCGCGGCCCCGTCGCCCCTAGCCTCGGCCCCGCGGACCCCCCCTCGCGACACGTCACCCCGCCGCCCCTAGCCTCGGCCCCTCGGCCCCGTCGCACCTAGCCGCGGCCCCTTGCGACCCGTCGCCCCGTCGCCCCTAGTCTCGGCCCCTCGCCCCCCCCCCCTTCGTGTTTGGCCCCTCGGCCCCTAAGCCCCTCGGCCCCTCTGCCCCTCGGCCCCTCGGCTCCTAGACCCCAAGCCCCTCGGACCCTAAGCCCCTCGGCCCCTCTGCCCCTCGGCCCCTTGGCTCCTAGACCCCAGGCCCCTCGGCCCCTTCGACCTCGGCCCCTCGGCACCTCGGCCCCTAGGCCCCAGGCCCTCCCTTGGCCCATCGGCCCTTAGGCCCCTTCGTGTTTGGCCCCTCGGCCCCCAGGCCCCTTGGCCCCTCGGCCCCTCGCCCCCCCCCCCCCCCCCCTTTCGTGTTTGGCCCCTCGGCCCCAAGACCCCAGGCCCCTCGGCCCCTAGACCCCAGGCCCCTCGGCCCCTAGGCTACTCGGCCCCTCGGCCCCTTTGACCTCGGCCCCTCGGCCCCTAGGCCCCAAGCCCCTCGGCCCCTTGGCCCCTCGGCCCCTAGGCCCCTTCGTGTTTGGCCCCTCGGCCCCTTGGCCCCTTGGCCCCTTGGCCCCTTCTACCTCGGCCCCTTGGCCCCTCGGCCCCTTGGCCTCTCTGCCCCTGCTACTGCTGCTACTGCTACTGCTGCTACTGCTGCTACTACTGCTACTACTGCTACTGCTACTGCTGCTACTGCTGCTCCTCTACTGCTGCTATTGCTGCGACTGCTGCTACTACTGCCGTCCCTCTCGCAGCCCCTGCCGCCCCGCACACCGCCTAGCTTGCCTGCTATGACTTCTCTTCGTCGTAGCGGTGGGAGTGGGAATGGCGGTGGTGGCAGTAATGGGAGTGGTGGCGGCCGTCCTAGCGGTCGCTGTGGAGCTGTTCGGTGGGGAGTTTCTGGCGGTGGCCAGATGCGGATGCAGCAGCGTCAGCACGAGGCCCTTACACCCCAGCAGCTCCGTGAGTGGTACACTAGTAGGGGTGGTGGCAGTGGCAAGAGTGGCGGTCGCTCTGCAGCTGTTCAGTTGGGAGTTACTTGCGAAGGCCTAACGCAACTGCAGCGGCGTCCGCGCGAGACACTTTCGCCTCAGCAACTTCGTGAGTGCTACGTTCAGCGTGGGGCGTCTCGGGGTAGTGCTCGCTGCCCGTACGTCATTCGCACAGGTGACCGAGATGGTCAGACTTGCAGGAAAGTTGGTCACACACAGTCTCGCTGCTTCTCCTGTCTGAGCGACACCTGGCGTGCTGAGTTTGGCGACGCGGCTGAGCTTCCACATCAGGTACATGAGGCAGCCCACAAGCTCTGGATATGGGCCACTCGGCTCTACGGACTCGTCCGAAGGTGGAGCTGAGAGCGAGTGACCGGTAGGCAGAGGAGTGGACTGTGGCGAGGAGTACGTGAAGCCGAAGCGCTGAAGGACCTGCTGCACCATGTGTGACTGAGTCAAGGTAATGGTGCGCTGTGCTCTGTCCCGGGTGATCCGCAAGCCAAGATAGCTTGTCAGCTCACCCAGGTCTGTGCACGTGTGTCTCTTCTGCAGCTCGGACTTCACGTGGGCGAGTGCCTCAGTGTCAGCAGTAGCAATGACGAGGTCGTCTACGTACACAAGAACGTAGAACGGCGGCAGAGTAGTGTCAGTGCGTATAAACAGAGAAGGGTCAGAAGTGGAAGGAGCAAAACCAAGCGAAGCAAGGGTCGTCCTGAGTGTGTCGTGCCACTCACGGGGTGCCTGACGAAGACCGTAGACTGGCCGCCGGAGGCTCCACTGGGTACCAGCTGGAAACGACCCAGTGAAGCCAGGTGGGCAGAGCAGCCAGATCTCCTCGTGTAGGCTGCCCTGTAGGAAGGCTGTGCTGAAGTCAAGCCAGTGGAGCTCGTAGTCACGGTGAGCAGCAACGTGCAGCAGTACCCGAAGAGTGGTCATCTTCGGGGTAGGGGAGAAGGTCTGGAAGAAGTCAACTCCCTGTCGCTGACTGAAGCCACGTGCAACGTAACGCGCCTTGAAGACAGGCGGAGAACCCGACGGCCGCTTCACCCTGAAGATCCACATGCCACTGACGATGTTCGCCCCAGGTGGGGGAACGTCGTCTACGTAGGTGCCTGTGGACTTCCAGGAAGCCATCTCGGCGTCCATGGCTGCCTGCCACTGAGAGGAGTAGGGACCCTCTATCGCCTCTGCGTAAGAGCGCGGGGTCGGGATGTCTAGTGCATCCGGGTCTCCCTCAGGGGCAAGCAGCATGGACACAAGATGAGGTGAAGCAGCGGCAAAGCACTCAAAGTCCTCTTGCCTGTCCTCAAGGATGTCCGTACCAAGAGCACACTCACCCCCGACGGACGGAGGACAGACAGACGCAGACGCAGACTCAGCAACAAGACTAGTGGCGTAGTCTAGGCGACAAGCCGCAGCAAAGTCAACGAGCTCATAAACATGAGCAGATGCAGCAGTGGACTCAAACAAAGGGTCAGTGATAGCAGTGGCCAGAAAGCGCGTGACCGCCGGACTAGCAGCACGAAGGGAGTCAGACTCCGGGTCCGGACCAACAGGAAGAGAGGACGCAGGAGGAGACGGCAGAGGGACACGCTGTGGAGCAGTGGAAGGACGCAGAGTCATAGAGTGAGTGCCAGGAACAGGAGGAGGACGCGGACGCGAAACACGACCAGCGCGAACAGTACGGACAGGCGACTCAGAGCGAGACTCAGGCGAAACAGGACGCGACTCAGGCTCACGACGCTCCGTAAGACCTCTAGTCGGTCCAGAGTAGGGAGAAGGACCAGGTAGTGGAGAGGCCGGCCGTAACTGCGACTCGGACTGGACAGGCGGTGTGCTCAGGAAAGGAGGAGGAGGACCAGGAGAAGGCTAGGAACCAAGAACCTGCTGAAGTAGAGGAACGTAGTATGGCCGCGGCCGCGCAGCGCCTCCAGCAGCTCCAGGAGCTCCTGCACCAGCAGCTCCTCCAGCACCAGTAGCACCGCCAGCAGCTCTAGCAGCACCTCCAGCACCAGCAGCACCGCCAGCAGCTCCAGCAGCACCTCCAGCACCAGCAGCACCTCTAGCAGATCCAGCAGCTCCTCCAGCACCAGCAGCACCTCCAGCAGCTCCAGCAGCACCTTCAGCACCAGCAGCACTGCCAGCAGCTCCAGCAGCACCTCCAGCACTAGCAGCACCTCCAGCAGCTCCAGCAGCACCAGTACCTCCAGCAGCTCCAGCAGCAGCTCCAGCACCAGTAACACCTCCAGCAGCTCCAGCAGCACCAGAACCTCCAGCACCAATAGCACCTCAAGCAGCAGCTCCAGCACTAGTAGCACCACCAGCAGCGCTAGCAGTACCAGCACCTCCAGCAGCTCCAGCAGTAGCTCCAGCACCAGCAACAACTCCAGCACCAGGAGCACCTCCAGCAGCGCCAGCAGTACCAGCAGCTCCAGTAGCTCCAGCAGCACCAGTAGCAGCAGCACCGCCAGCAGCCCCAGCAGCATCAGCAGCACCACCAGCAGCCCTAGCAGTACCTCCAGCACCAGCAGCACCTCAACAGCGCCGAGAGTACCACTCACGAAGCTGCGGTGGAGAGAGGGGCTCCCGCCGCGACGGGACCCCTAGAGCACCGCCAGACCCAGCACGCCAAGGCTTAGCACCTCCAGACGCAGTACCCTCAGGCTCCACACGTCCAGGCTCAGTACCCCCAGACGCAGCACCCCCAGACACAGAAACCCCAGGCTCGACACCCCCAGTCCCCGCACCCGCAGGCTCAGCACCCCTAGTAGCACCTGAGTCGACAGCTACCTCAACCGGCTCAGTAGGGTCTACCTGGGACACACCTGAGGGGGCAGGACCCTGGGGGGGGAGGGGGTCTACCGGAGGAGTACCTGGTGCTAGGAAGAGCGGCGGGGGGGGGGGGAGAGGCAGTGCGGTAGGGAAAGAGACGGTAGTAAGACACCGACTCGTCAAACGTGATGTCCTGAGAGGACAGAACACGACACGAGGTGGGGTGGTAGAACTGCCACCCGGGTGCGTCAGGAGGGAAGCCAAGGAAGACACAGGGAACGACACGGGAGGACAGCTTGTCCGCTGTAGTATCGCGGCCAAAAGCTCGAGATCCCCAGACACGGAACGCGGACGCATCGCCAACCTTCCCCGTCCACCGCAGAGTAGGTGTGGTCTCCGGCAAGAAGACACGAGGCTGAAGGTTGATCTGATGCGCAGCGTACTGAACCGCGAACGGCCACAGAAAATGGGGAGCAGCCGCATGGATCATGGACGTACGAGCGACGTCCATGACCATGCCAATGCGGCGCTCGGCAATCCCATTTTGCTGCGGGGAGGCCGGAATCGTGAACGTCTGGCGGATGCCCTCCGAACGACAGAAGGCCCTCAGGAGGTCGGAGGAAAACTCCCCACCTCTGTCTGAGTGCAGACGCAGAACAGGAAGGTCTGAACCAAAAATCTCACTGAGCTGGCGACGAGCACCACGGATCCAGTCGATCAACACCTCAGGGACCTCACCCTTGTTGCGCAAGGGGAAGACTGTGGTGTAATGCGAGTAGTCGTCAACGACCAGCAGGAAGTAACGCTCGTGACCCTGTCCACGGACGCGGGCTGGGCCCCACACGTCCATGTGAAGAGTCTGCAGAGGAGCCTCAGTCGGAGGGAACGAGGAGGAGTGAGGAGCGGCGCGCTGCCTGCCCTCGACACAAGGAACACAGGTGGGGGCAGGCCCCGGAGGAAGGGGAGGGAGGGAACGGGGTAGACCCGAGACAAGGGCACAGGAGGCCATACCTCGAAAACGAGGAAGGGAGGGGTGACCAAGGCGGTGGTGCCAAAGGAGAGTCTCGTGCGACAGAGGACGACACGAGCAGGGGGCAGACGCAGGACTAGACCTGGACGCGGCAGCAAACACCTGACTAGACGCAGCTACCTGACCAGACGCAGAGACCGGAGGAGGCGCAGTAGTCAGTGTGTACAGACTCGACCCTGGCCGACGGGTGAACGTGGCCAGGTGGCGGCCCGTCCGAGAGCAAGTGCAGTGGGTCACACGCTGACCTCCAGGGGTGAACTGGTCAACCCACGCGTCCTGGAGGTCAGCTCCACTCACCAAGTTCGTAGAGAACGAGGGGAGGTGGAGTCCCAACAGCAAGCCCAACGGGGCCGCAGGACACGGTAGAACCGTGGAAGAGTGTGCAAGGACTGGGCCCCCAGAGGGGTCAGCAAGGGAGACAGCAACAGGCCGACTGAGCGGCGTGAGTGTGGTGCTGTCTCTAAAGAAAGAGCGCGAAGCACCAGAGTCAAGTGTGAAAGTGTGCAAGGCCTCAGTAGGTGCAGTACCAGAGAGAGCAGACTCACCAGCATCTGGAGCAGCAGACGCACCAGTACCTGGGGCAGCAGACGCACTAGCACCTAGAGCAGCAGCCGCAATGCCCGGGTCGGGCGGGACACTCAGGTAACAGTCACCCTCAGCACTATCAGCAAAAGCATACATGGCAGCAAGGATAGCATCGAAATCAAGATCAAAGATAGGCACATTCTGCAGAAGTAGATCATGCCAGCGAGGGAGCTCAACAGCGTCAGGAAAATGGGCACGCCAAGCGTCAGTCAAGCGACCGAAGCAGCGCTGCGTAGTGTGTGGCAGCCCACACGCCTCCCCACGACGACTGCCGGTGAGAAGAACGTAAGTGCAGGGACCTGCACCCCCAGACCTCCCACGCCTAGCGTACCACTCACGAAGCTGCTGGACCGACGGGGTCTCATGGGAGCGCAGCTGCTGCTGGCGCTGGCTGCCACCAAAGCCTCCACGCTGCGCGGCTGCACCTCGACCAGCACCACCGCCGCCGCCACCTCCACCACCGCTGCCGCTGCCTCCACCACCTCCGCCACTGCCGCCACCACCTCCACCGCCGCCACTGACGCCCCCACTCCCGGTACCACCCCCACCTCCACCGCCACCTCCTCCACCTCCTCCACCTCCTCCACTGCTTCCCCCGCCGCCCCCTCCACCACCCTTGCTCCCCTTGCCCTTGCTGTTGCGGCGTCTCCCACTAGGGGCAGACGCAGCTCCGACCTCCTCAGTGCCAACGAGGTCGACAGCATCAGCAGAAGCAACAGAGGGGAGAAGGGGGACAGGGGAACACCCCTCAAAGAAGGGGGTGCGATGGTCGCCGCGAGAAGCACCTACAGCTAAGATACTCTTCTCAGCTGCAGCAAGGCGCGCCTCTAGCAGGTCGACAGTGAGCTCGGTGGGGCAAAGGGAGAGAAAGTGGTCCCTGATTGAAGAAAGGGAGTCAGGGAGGCGGGTGACTAGGTAGTAAAGGGTGATGTACATGGGGGGGGGGGTTCTTGGCACAGAACTCAGTGGGAAGGGCAGCGCGGTAGCGGGCGTCACTAGTGCGGAGGTGAGCAATGAGGTCAGCGACTGCGGCAAAGGCGGCAAGGTCAGAGAAAAGGTACGGCAGCATGAGGCGGCTGAGGGCAGTAGTGGCAGGGGAGGAGTAGCGCGCAACTACAGCGTCGTACAAAGACTTAGCAGTCTTGTACTGGCCAAAATGCGCGCGCTCAGCAGGCGGCAGGTGACTACGAACAGCAAGACGAGCAACAGCGTCACGAGTGGTCCACTGTGAGCGAACCGTACTGTCAGCAGTGGCAGCAGGAGCAATGGAAACACCGGACGTGTGATCGAAAAGGGATACCCCATCCCTAGAATCACACTGAAGAAAGAGCTGTAGGTCGTCAACCCACACGTCAAAGTCAACTGCACGTCCCTCAGCATCAAAGGTGAGAACGGTAGGACTAGCCATAGCAGCAGTAGGAGCAGTAGCAAGAGTAGCAGCAGTAGCAGCAATAGCAGCAGTAGCAGTAGTAGCAGCAGTAGTAGCAGAGGCAGTGCAAGGCAGTGCGGCTCGGTATGGCGGCGCGGCTCGGCTGAGCGGCGCGGCTCGGCTGGGTGGCGCGGCTCGGCTGGGCGGCGTGGCTCGGCTGGGCGGCGCGGCTCGGCTGGGCGGCGCGGCTCGGCTTACCAGAGACGGGTTCAGGTGCGGGCCGTGACTGCAGGGGCCGTGCCAGTAAGGGGGGGGGGGGGGGGGCGCACCAGCAGGGGCCGGCAGGGGTGCGTCAGCAGGGGCCGGCAGGGGCGCGCTAGTAGGGGCGCGTCAGCAGGGGCCGGTAGGGGCGCGTCAGCAGGGGCCGGCAGGGGCGCGCCAGCAGGGGCGCGTCAGCAGGGGCCGGCAGGGGCGCGCCAGTAGGGGCGCGTCAGCAGGGGCGCACAGGGGCCGGCAGGGGCGCGTCAGCAGGGGCCGGCATGGGCGCGTCTGCAGGGGCACGCAGGGGCCGGCAGGGGCGCGTCAGCAGGGGCGCGTCAGCAGGGGCGCGTCAGCAGGGGTCGGAAGGGGCGCGCCAGTAGGGGCCGGCAGGGGCGCGTCAGAAGGGGCCGGCAGGGGCTCGTCAGAAGGGGCGCGTCAGCAGGGGCGCGTCAGCAGGGGCCGGCAGGGGCGTGCCAGCAGGGGCCGGTAGGGGCGCGTCAGCAGGGGCGCGTCAGCAGGGGCCGGCAGGGGCGCGCCAGCAGGGGCGCGTCAGATGTTGGGGGCCGCGACGGGCTA